TAGTTCCACTGAAACCGTCGAGAGTAATTTATATGTATTTTAATAATTGTTTGCGGAATCCGTGTTAAATAATGTGAAATCACTATACATTTGCAGGGTATGGATAAATGTGGATTTTATGGTTGCCATAAACTACAGACTTAAACTCCCAGTGAACAATGATTAATCTGTGAAACAATAGGATCCTTTAGCATTCCAATGATGTCGATTCTGAAAAAAAAAAAACAATATTGTTTCCAACATACTAAATCCGAGCCACATTAAAATAAGAATTCAACATAATGAATTATCTTCATTGCTATGCCGTGGCATAATAAAAATATAATTGAAAATTAGCTAGAGAAAGGTTGTTACTTTAACCTACTTTTGCATGTACGGTGCATCTAGGGAGTAGTCATCTCCAGGATGAACATACCTATACGGTATCGTCAACGTGCTTATACCAATGTTAAATAAACTACTTAGTGAAGAAGCTTAAAATAGTCACTGAGGTTTACGCCATTATTGACGCTATCTAAAAAGTCTTTTATGTTTCTCAACTATACTTCGCATGCGAGACAATAAGTAAAGCGGGTGGCAACTAACAACTTAACAAGAACTACATTTCACCAATATAATGTAAGCCTTGACTAAACTGAAGTTTAGAATCCTGCGATATTATAGGCTAAAATTTAAGTTAAATTATAAACTGAAAAATGGACTGTCTTAAATTTAACTTAAGACTAGTATTGGTGAAGCTGAAATTATAATGGAATTTGGCAAAGGAAACGTTAAAGTTAGTCTAGATTAAAAATAATTTGATTGGTCAAATTTAAGTCAGACTTAAATTTCAGCCAGTCGTACATACGGATTCTTAAGTTCGAGTCCAGATTTATGTTCTGTTCGGAAAATCAGGGCACTGCTACTACAAAGAGTGGGAGCTATGATTGGCCCCTAACCAATAACCGGTCAGTATATTTAAGTTTCATAACGAACATGTTGACACAGGGCAAATAAGGTGTTTATAAATTATTTTAGCGCATGATTTAACTACTGTTGTCAGAAACAATAAACCACAATACTCCGTCAGTTCAGTTTGGTTTGATCTAATTTAACTCCCCGAGAAATCTATATCTAACATATTACTTTAGTGGTATATGCTAAATGTGGTTGTCAGTCACCGTCATAAAAACATTAATCGAGCAACAGTACAGGTCGAGTGTATATGGAATTGAAAACCTCGGGTTGTTCAATGTAGTTGATACAGTTGGACAAGTACATTGAGACTAAGTCGATGGAATACGATCTCTTAATTGGAGCTGATATAACATTATTGAGTCTATATCCTATAGAACACACTGTAGATGAAGACCAACTCTTCTTTTTTCAAGGGCAGAGAGTATTCAAGAGAACGAGATACGTGATCGAGAACAATTGCTCGATATGAAGCTCCAAATAATATAGACCGGGTCTTGTCAAAGTTTTGTGCCAGAGAAACTACACATGCTAGAAAATTAGGAAAGCAGTAAGGTTGACACACAGGGCTTGCTACGCAGTTTGCATCAGAATCATGGCGAACAGTCGAAACTCCAAGTTTAAAGTTCTATTAGGTCCGGAGTATCTACTAGAAAATAGTTATGTAACAGAAATGATAAATAGTGATGGACATCAAATCAGAAAGAATCATCAAAAGACCTTGATTGATGAAAATGGATTTGAAAAGAAGGGGGACTCAAATGTTTACAAAAGGACACGTATTAACAACCACTTTCACAAGCCTACAAAACTGGAGAGAGTTCCAACTTTGATTCTTTCCGGAACTAAAGCCATTCAGGATGATGAAGATGCCTCCCATGGCAAACGGACGGACGAACAAGATTCAGGATTACAGATGGAGAGTGCGAAAGTTGGCTCGAGGTTGTCGTTTACAAGACATAATCCGATATCTACCAGCCCACGGTTTAAAAGGAATACAGGACAGATCACTGGATTAAAGTTATCCAAGGCAACAAAACCAAGCTTAATTGATTTTGGTCTGAGGCCTGAACGTACGGATACTTTCTCTGGATACCTGCGTCGCCGTATTCATCCAAACAAGTCGGAAATACTGAGAGAGTTTGCGGAAAAGGCGAATAGACATATCTACGCATGCCAAATATCAAGTACCATAAAAAGGGGCAGTAGAACTCAGTTAAACATATCTAAATTAAGGGAGTCTGTGTCGCCCCGTTCTCGATCCATATCAAGACACCATACCGAGGAAGGATTCCCAAAGACTGTCAACAAGCTGACAAGTTTGTATAGGTCAGATACAATGCTGATGAAGAAATTTCCTTCGTATTCTTTCGCAATACGAACCAGAAATGCAACCACTCTCTCTAACATAAGAGCAAACAACGAACCCTTACCGGAAGTTACAGGTTATACACTTATTCCAGAACTTGGTCTGGATTAAGTAACCGATCAGTTGATAATATTGGAATAACAACATAAATTCTTAATTGCCATTACAACCAGTCGTGTATTAAATGCAAAAATTTAAGTAACTGAGCCGCGATCGAGGAAATGGCCTTGGTTTCTTCGTGTCAAATTTGTTCAGGGAATTAATTTTTCTGTGTTTTTATTGTTGTTTTATCTCTTTTTACTACGTGTAATAAGGCTACATTCGTTGATGTCAGCTAATGGGAACCTACGACAATAAATTTGCCTGATAAAACGAATTGTTTTTTAACTGCGATTCCAATGTGTGACAAAGACAGCCGAAGTTATATATTTCGGTAATTATTTCAAGGTATCATGCAAGCGAATGCTGGTAATAACATACATTTCATAAGGTATTTAAAACGTTTTCTCAGAGCCATAACAGATGGATTGTATAGATCATTTTGTGTTTAATCAGAATGTTAAATTCCCGAGTTTCATTTAAAATATATACCCAAGTAAATGGCTAGCTAGTTAAAGAAATAAGCAACCGAGAGACAGTTATTATGGTTATTCATAAGATGTCTGTAAAAATTATATGTGTTTGTGTTTAAACTTACTAAAAGATTTGTAATATTTTTCAATTTATTTATATTTAATACAATGGCCAAAACATAGTGATTAATGCAGTTTTCGACGATTTCATACTAGCTATGGTGCTGTTTTAATAACATTACATCACTCTGCTTCAGACTTTAAATCTAACGGTGTACCAGTCCCCAAAAAATATAATATTAGTCCCTGGTGGACAGATATAATTTTTTGTCTTTTGTATTGGTTTAATAATAAGAAGTAAAATGCGAAAACAATCTTCAACAAGTGTCTACGTATGAATGAACATTTTCCAGTTCACATTAAAAATTGCATTACATGTAATAAGTATTGGGTGAAATATGAGTGAGAAACCCGTGCTGAAGAGCGATTAATGGGTGAATAATCCGTCAAAGAGCGCCTAATGAGTGAGAAATCCTGTCTAAATTACTGACGCTTTGGTCTAACATGACTCGAACAAATAAACTGCAAGTGTCTGTAAAGCCTGATAAATCAAACGAATTCAGTGTAAATAGTAGCATTGAAGTACCATTAGTACTACAGCTTGTACCTAGTTGCCAAATCATGAGGCCGGAATGTGTGTACATTTCTAACGTCTCCTTACGATTTAAGTTCTCTCTCTCTCTCTCTCTCTCTCTCTCTCTCTCTCTCTCTCTCTCTCTCTCTCTCTCTCTCTCTCTCAACTTTAAGTGCTTTTCTTGTCTATAACAGTGTATCCGGGGTTATTACTACTTTAAACGAAAATGATGACTGCTGCGATGGTTGTGGTTACAATATGGTTAAATGGAGAAAAAGGTGGAGATGAGAAGAATATTCAACGAGGCAGCGTAACCATTTTTTTTATCTGCAGACCTGGTCCCATTTATTTAACATTAAACCACTCACATCATCTCTCTACGCCAATGCCGAAACATCATCCTTCAGTTGAAGATACCTTCTTCAATATTTCTATTCTTTACAATAAATATAAAAACTTCTCCAGTTTTTACTTTTGTTTTCAGCCAAAGACGAAATCAGAAAAACGTTGCCGGGGAAATCATGAATCATGTGCCATGTACACAAGTACTGGTGGACACTGGTCTGATTTGTCATTTAAAAGTATGAGGATAATGTGCGTGTGTGCGTGCGTGAGTGTGTGAACTAAACTGCGTTATTTAAAAACCATTGATTATGAACGCAGACATTAAATACTGTGGATAATGCAGTTTTACTGATCACCTCCTCTGGGTAAAGTAACTCGTTTGTCAGTCTTTACAACCAGGTGCGTCTCCATTGTCTCGAAATGATTCAGCACAGTTGATTCCTCTGAAGTCTTTAGGCTGTATATACCCACAAACAGGACTATACCGTTATTTCAATTAAATATAAAGGGTGTGATCTTTGCAATCCATCGATAAGTGGCAGATATGATGTTGTACTCTCAAAGGACATTGTGGTACAAAACCTTTAACTCCCGTCCCACTAACTTATTCCTTTTATATGTTTAAATTTGTTAATATGAGCCTAAAGTATGATAATAATGAATTCATAGTTTAGTGCAAATAAATATAAAAATTAATAAATAAAATGAAAAGCACATAAGACAGTGATGGATTGTACTAAACAGTCTTATCAAACAGAGCCTCTATCACTTTGCAAAGCACACATCACGACTTTGAATTACTGTTTTATTATTGACTTTGTATAACAGCATTTGTAAGTCAGTGTTCAATTAATAAGACGCGTTTCGAGTTACATGTGGCCTTTGCACCACTACATGTATAGATATGCATATTTTACCGACTCCATATCAGGTTACAGCCATTTCTGATAGAGGTATCCTCCATAAATAATTACCTTGTTTAATTCACGGTTCAGCTATAAAAATATGTCATTATTGACCATATTTACAAACGACCTTGTCGGGATGCGTGGCGAGAGACATGACTCGGGGGTGGGGGTAGAGTTCTATTTAGTTTAGGATTCTATTTCCTTTCAGAGTGGCAACGGCTCCGGGTGGCCTAGTGGTTAGAGCGTCCGCCTTGGATGCGGGAGGTCGTGGGTTCGAACCCGGCCAAGTTATACCAAAGACTTACAAAAATGGTACTAACAGCTTCCTCGCTTGGCGCTAAGCATTAAGAGGTTAGTGTTAGGACTGGTCGGCCTGGTGTCAGGATAATGTGATTGGTTGGGACATCATGTTTCATGTCTGCGGCATGATGTCCCAGTGCCAGACATCACTATAAACTGCCACACTGCAGACATATTAGAAATATGACTGAAAAATTGTTAAAGCTACGTTAAAAATCATAATCACATACACCACACACACACACACACAACACACACACACACACACACACACACACACACACACACACACACACACACACACACACACACACACACACGTTTCAGAGAGGCTACCTTCAGACTTGGCAGCGAGTGATCAAAGTACTGCGAATACTTGTCACGATGAAACAAAGTTAGCCCTCTCGTGTAATCTACACTTGGGCGAAATAAAAACAATTAAAGATCTCACTTCTCCTTGATATTGGTATTACTCAGGCCGATGATCTTTGGTATTTACCTCACCGTGTTAAGGGTGTCTTTGCTCGACTGCAGAAATTGGCACAAAATTGAATCAGTTTAAAACAAGAGTTCTAAGTTGGCCTGAGGTCGCTTACCAGCAATAAACTTTAAGTGTCACTAGATGTCGTGAGTGTACTATAGAATATAAATATAAGTTCGTTGTTTTAGGAGGTTTCGCTCATGAACATTATTTATTAAACAGAGAATCATATAATCAATCGATAATTTAAATACGCCCATGGCAGGTGTACGTTTTGGGGTTGTGCTCTTTTTGTCAGTTTCTCGAATTTGAAAGATCTGAATGCAAATATAATCACACCAATTTTGATTAAAAGTGATATATGTCTTGTAGTAACTGAAGTAGCAATAATAGAACCAGTGGTGTTGTTTCCTTTTGAAGACACAGTCGTAAACATTAACCCTTTGTGCAATGATTATTTCAGTCAAAATTGCTAGCATTATATTCATAGAGTTTTGAGGCATCATTTTTTTTTGGGGGGGGAGCATGGTCTGTTGAATGTCTCTTAATTGGCCTTATAGTTAAATTTTTTTTTTCAGTAATTGTAAAACATAACATTTATAAAGTTAGCCTTTGAAAAACACTTGAATATTTGTCAAAATTGTGTACATGTATGGTTTGAATTGCGCTTAATAGTGCAGTAACTCAGAATACAGCAATCTGGAGGGATTAGCACCCAGGTGTTGCTCTGCACATTAAGCAACATACCGGTAAGGTGTGATCAGCTGCTGGTCGGAGTTAACCTCTCCCAACGTGCTCGAAAGTGTTATGCTAACTTAACCTATTTGCGGAGATCCCATGGCTTATATTATTATAGTTAAACCTTGCTATTGATTTGACTTTCCCTATCTAGAAGATACACATAGAAATGATGACATAAGAATCCATTTTTTTATACCCCCCCCTGAAGTCTTAAAGATACACTATGCTTATCCCAAATTTGAAACTAACATTAAGTTCAAAATAGTATGATGGCAGATCTAATTTTTTTTTGTATAGAACTGTTTGGGTGTTCAATTTGGTAATGGGGAAAGGCGAGTTGCGAGTAGGGATCACTCGGCTGTCCGAGTGGTCTACGGCGCTCACCTTTACCTCGTGGGTTCGAGTCTCGGCTCAGCGGGGTTTTCCAGGGCTCTTGCTCCAACAAATATACTAGCCGTTATGTGCTGGTATATGACGTTAAACCCATAAACAAACAAACATCAGCTTGGTAAAAATGTATGTCTAGCGGCATTTCACAAAAATAATTTAAATTCATTTCTGTAATAAGGCGTTTAGAAATTTCTCTAATTTTAGCAACCACGGCCGTATTCGATATCAAACATGTATCATATTATAGAACAAAAGCCTTGATAACAAAATTTCTTTTGATGGTCGATGGATATAATTTGTGAATATATGACAAGCCTTGATACCAATTTTTTTTTCTTTCAAAATATCGAATATTATTATTATTATTATTATTATTATTATTATTATTATTATTATTATTATTATTATTATTATTATTATTATTTGTAAAGGACCGTTTTTTTTAGGTCCATCTTTGTTTCTTAGAGTTAATTATGGTAGAACACACTTATTCGTATACATGCACCATTAACGAGATTTATGGGGAAATCATTGTACTAGCTATAAAGTACAGTTTAGTTCGGGCAAGACCATACGTCATTAGTTTTTAATTAAGGGCTTAGTTTGTTTAAACTTATCGAACGGGGTTCAAGTTAAGTTCTGCGTGGAATTGATAGTAGGAGAAAACCCAGTCGTAGGCATCTGTTGATCGAAATAGCGCAGTGTTTAGTGCCGGAGAGGCTGGAATTATTGTGAGTCTGATTGGTCACGCTATGAAGGGGGCATGGTTTAAAACGAAAAACTTAAATTTAAATGTACTGAGGGATTTTGAAAATTTAGTCTGCATTTCTCTGCTAGAGAGAAAGAATAAATACCGGTAGACTCCGGGGATTTTAATGAGGAAAGTTCTCGTCAATCAAAATTCTATCCAAGGAGAGACGTTTATCTGAAGGATTCGACTGACATCAAAAGCTTGATAAACGAGGTGAGATAGTCTGGAAAGACGTTACAACCCAAACAGTGTGGGGAGAAAAAAGGGCAGTTTAGAACAAAATGACAGACACCTAGAATTTTTGGAGCGAAAGAAAAAAGGAACGGAAGACGCACTGATACAACGGAACAAAAAGTACCGTCTAAGAGGACCTATGGCTCGGAATCACTCAACAGGTTATGCATTGATGCAAGGCAGAGTTATTCGATATATACGGACTCGTAAATGATGATTTTGAGACTATCTTAACAGAATCGGCTAATCTTAAAATGCTATTTGTAATTTTGAAATTACTTAATTAGTTAATACTCAAATAAAGAAGTGTATCTTTCGAACCGTAACTTTCATATTATTTACTTGTGGAAATTTTTATTGTTTGAAATTTTATTAAATTTTCTTTTATTTATACCGGGTGTTAGACTTAATTTATTATTATTATTATTATTATTATTATTATTATTATTATTATTATTATTATTATTATTATTAGAAGAAGAAGAAGAAGAAGAAGAAGAAGAAGAAGAAGAAGAAGAAGAAGAAGAAGAAGAAGAAGAAGAAGAAGAAGAAGAAGAAGAGAGTAAGTTAAAGCCTTTTTTCATTTGCAACGACGTCCACTTTTAACGGTAGATGCGCATCACTGTAAGGCTTTGATATAAACATGTCTTTCAAATTTAGTACAATTAGTTTGTACAGTTTTTAAGGAATCTAAATTAAGTTTTTGTTTAATTTCGTTTGATCACTACTATTTGCAAACAACAATACATGACTTCTTTCTTACAAGTTCATGTTTTTGTTGAGAAGTCTAAAATAGCGAATATGTATGGACAGACGGCGGACGCTGCATAATGGATGCAGAGTTATACTGTTAGATCTCTCACTTTGCCTTATGAGAATCTCCCCATACTATATTACAAGCATACGGAATACTTTGGGTCTTTTGACAGTGACTATGTCTCAGCAACAATAACAAATGGAAATGATTCGACATTAAAGAAAAGTCAATTAAAAAGCTTCATTGGTTTCATAGTAACATCAAAAGCAAAAATTTCCTTCGTAACAAGCATTGCCAGTTTGAACCTCTTCCCCACCCAACCCCCAGCCAAACATCTCCATCCCTCCCCACAAAACCAGGTTTTGTCAATAATCGTACATTCAGCAATGTATTGCGACAAGGATGTAGCCTACCACAGACACTAAAGAGCTTATATGTGTGTCAGCTGATTTCTTTTTCTTAGCGCTCTGAATTATTTCAAACATTTCTTTAATCAGCAAATGTTAAAGCCAATATAGGAAACCCCGATGTGATCCAAACAAGAATTCCTTCTGATGGCGTGACTGATGTCTGAAATCTCGTGATGAAATGCTTTCTTTCGTTTTGATTGCATTGCAAACCTTAATATTTAATCTTATGCAACCAGTTGTCTTCCATGTGCACAGCAGTGTGGACTCTGAACAAAGACCTTCCATAGGCAATTACATATATTTAGCATTAACCTGTTTTGAGTGGCTATTATAAAGTAGTCCTTCATGTTCATGTAGAATCAAACACGAAAGTAGTGCATGGAGAAGATACAAAATAACGAGCGGAGAGCGACAATCTGACGGTCTATATGAATGTTTGATCCTTTGTATATAACGTCCTTGCCTGTTTTGGGGTCTCGATCACTCTTGCACGTACGTAAACGTATGTAAGTATAATGTAAACAAGGACTATGGCAAACGCCGGCTAAAAAGCAAGTCCCAAACTAACCTAAAGACACAAAGATAACGGAAATCTAGGAAAACACATTCTCACTAGCAACAATATGAAAGTCAAGGATACCAACAACGACAAGGGAAACAGGACTACGACAACAACTGCCACTTTACAAGGGAGTCCTTAAGAAACAGAACTGGTAAGGATACCAGCAGCAACAGGGAAACAGAACTATGGCAACACGGACCAAGCTGAAAGGCAAGTCCTAAAATCAAAATGACCACAAACACAAGGAAATGAGAGAACTGTTACCAGCAAAAAGGGGTTCACAGAGCATCAGTTGGTAATTAACAGGTCCAAGCAACAAAATAACACAATTAAGGGCTTAAGCAAAAATGTAGAATTATAAACTCTGTACATAGCATGAGACAGATTAAAACAACTCTACACTATCACCGTTCAATCAAACAACTAAAAACACAAACCAATGAAAACACCTACACACATTAATTAACATAGCCACAAAACACTAAAAAACAAATAACTTACTAACAACTTATACTAATTATATATATATATATATATATATATATATATATATATATATATATATATATATATATATATATATATATATATATATATATGTGTGTGTGTGTGTGTGTGTTTGTATGTGTGTGTGTGTGTGTGTGTGTGTGTGTGTACATATTCC